CTCAATCATTAACTTTCGCCACTCCAACCAAAAGTGATGATTTGTTGGCTCAATCATTAACTTTCGGACTCCAACTAGCCAGAGGTACCAATGTTTGTAATAAACAAAATAAAAGCATGTACAAAGTTACATAAGGAACTTTTCTTGTTGGGTAAAATCCATTTTACAACATCCAAATTGCGCGACAGTCAAGTTGTAACCTAAACTATGAAATTAGGTATTAGGTACTAGATGCCCTCCAACTATTCAAGCTAAATAAATCTATTTAGTCAAGTAATAATTGATTTTAAAGGTAGGTTATCTACTTCTAATAATAATAAAAAAAACTACTTTAATCTCTAAAGGTTCATGACTAATTTATTGTATTTTTTAAAAACATGCTATTTTTCTTTAAAAAATGTTACATATATCTATCTATAGTTGTTTGGAACTTATTTATTTATTTATTTATGTTTCTATTATTTTATTGCTTGTAGTCATGCTTATTATTTATTTGAGTTATCATTTTGCAATAATCAGAACTAGAGATCAACTAATAGGATCTGGCAAACTATAAGTACATAGAAAGATGTGAAAGACGACATCAACTTCACAGATGTCTTGCTCCATCATAGGTATAGATCCTATGTAGGCAATGCATTGCTAGCGCTTTATTTTATATTGATTGCCAGATTAGATTATAGGTTTCAAACAAAGTAGTACCTCAAACATCATGTGGTGGTCAACATAGAGCAGTAGTATGGCACAAAACAATAATTTAAACAAATAATAGACATGACCACAAGCAATAGAACACTAGAAACAAGAATAAATATGATCAACATAATTCTATAATAGACCACTAACAAATATATATAATTTTAGGAAAAAAGGTATTAGTTTCATTTTTTCTAACACTAGATAAGAATTTTTAAAGATTATACTTGGCTGTTGTTATTTTTAGAAAATAGAAAACCACCTCGACATTAACTAGAGAACAAATCTGTCTAGGCTCAACACAGTGTCCCGATGGTGAAGATTGTAAGCCAGCATTTTTTTAAGGTTTTCTCCAACCGATGTTCTTTAAGTGAATACTAGATCTCGTTGTCAGCAGCGTGTGACTTTTTCGGTCTTCAAAGCCTTGTTTAGCGAGGGTGTTTGCAAGTGTCTCTTTTATTGCTATACAGTGCGATCTTTAAATCCGACGGGCACTGGACGTTCGAAGGAAGAAGACCGATTTGGCCTTTGATGTACTCTTATTTTTTTTAGAGGTTGTCTTGTGTCTTATTATCCATCGCTTGTACTTGCCTTCGTTTTTCTTGAGATATATTAAATGCGATACTCTTTTGAATGTCTTAATAAAAAAGCAATAGAAAATATCGAGCCCCGTTTCCATAGTTAAAAGTTAAAAATCCAAATACCGTGCATATTGAAAAGCATAAGATACCAGACATTACCCTTTTTCTTGTTTGGGTGCGCTTGGCATCACCTCTCGATATATCTTGGACTAGAATACGACTTCTGTGGTCACATGGGATCCATGATAAAATGTTCCAATTGTACTTTGCCCAGATCTTAACGCACTTTAATCAGCTTCTCGCCGTCACCTGCTGCACTAACGTAACGCGTGCAGTTTAGAGTTTAGACCATGCAAAAATTGCTCGATGTGAACAAACAAACAAAAGGAACACAGTAAAACCGTTTTCTCCTCCGCTTTTCCAGTGGACTAGGCCCTGTTTGATTACCCCTTCTAAAAACTTTAGGAACTAAAATCTAAATATAATCTATCTAAAGAACCAAACATATTCTTCTAAAATCTTCTAAAAGTTTTAGAAGGCTGATTTTATTTAGGAGCTCCACCCATTCCTAAAATCTTCTAAAGTCCTTCCTGGACCCCACTACCCCTCATTTATTGCCCCTCTTTCTCTCTCTTTTTAAAGAAGGGTAAAAATATCCTTGTTCAACAATATTTATTGTTTTTAGTCAATTTTAGAAGCACAACTAAACACTTTTTAAGAGGTTGCCTGCGCGGCTACTGGGCACCGGCCAGTCATGGTTCCTGATCAGATGACTGATCTCTCCCCCTCCTTGTCCTTGGAGAGAGGAAGACGATGTTGACGCCTCTCAACTGTGCACGCGTCTTCCAGGTCAAAGCACAGCAGCACACGGCGTATTTATGGGCTTGGAAACTGGGCCATATTTAGTTTCCTCATTTTTTAGAATTTAGCACTATGTAAAAAGAAGATTTCTCGTCACATTAAATTTATGGTACATGTATGGAGTACTAAATATTGACGAAATCAAAAACTAATTACATAGTTTGGTTGTATTTTACGAGACGAACGTTTTAAGCCCAATTAATCAACGATTGAACAAGTATATACCAAATAAAAACAAAATAACACTGTAGCTACAGTGTAGTTACAGTGATTCGGCCGGCGCCGAATCGGCCGAACTAAACGCGGCCCTGGAAACATGGCATGGGAGCAGGAGTACGACGAGACGGATGACGAATTCAAGGTTGTGGCGCGCGGGTGGTGGGACCGTGGGACGCTCCTGTCGGTAAGTGCCGTTTTGCCACCCGCCCCTGCCCGTGACCGTCCACTTCTTGACCGGCACGGGACTGGCCTAGTGTTAGTGACGTGCTCGGTTCAGTGTCTCCCTGGTTGCTTTGTGGACTCGGCAATAGTTTATTTTTTCTAGCTGGACGCGTGCCTGTTCTCCTCCATTGGATGATCGGCGCTTGCTATTGCAACCACGTTTACCTGGCTCCGCGTCGCCGTTGAAGAAATCGTTAGCGTGCTGTGCATGCCAGAGGGTGCATCCTAGTCATTCTTCTTCCCGGGCGCTCTGGCCCGGTTCTGTACTTTTGTGGCCCCTACTTGTTACATGACATTGCCGTGACGTAAGCTGTGAGCTCTTCGTCGCGCAACCAACCTGTTAAGCGGCTAAGCCACCCATCGGCAGGCTTGTCGCCGTACCCGTACGCACCGTCAGGTGTCACCGGGCGTGCAAGTGTAGCGTGTGTGCAGGGAGAAACACGCTACCACTACCGATCGTCCACGCGCACGTCATCGATCGCTACCACGAAAACCGGCCATGGGTTTCAGAAGATTTCACACCCTGTGAGATCAGTGCGAGGCGCGCGCAGGGCGACGTCGACGGCCCGCCTGGTTGGACCTCCATCGCCGCCGTTCTCTCGCATCTGCTGGCGACTCGCGTCCTCGATTCGGTTCCCTCTCCAGCCGCCGCCGATCTGGTTCCTGCGGGCGTGCAAGTGCAAGGGGACTCCGACTTACTTGACTGAGAGGTGCCACTATGCGCTATGGCTAACGGTCCAGGACAGCCGCCGGTGGTTGCGGAGTCCGCGCAAACTCATTCCCCTCCGGACCCGCGTGCGGAACTGCGCTGACGCTAGGAGTGCGCTACATGCGCGTTCGTGTGGGATTCGAGATCTCGACCCGTACGAACACAATCTGAATGCACTGACTAGAATATTGGAGCTGATCTACAGACAGGCGACGGCGAAGGACGTTGACTTGCTTTATTCGTTGCGGCAGAAGGTTCCGTGACTAGTTCTTGCCCATTAGTTTTTTCATGCTTTCGTGCGCGTCGACTAAAATTGGGGCTTGTTCAGTTCAAAAAGTTTCCAAAAAGTGTTGCAGTAGCTATTACATCGAATTTTGCGATACGTGCATGGAGTATTAAATGTAGACGGAAAAAAAAAATTGCATAGTTTGGTTGAAAATTACGAGAGGAATGTTTTGAGCCTAATTAGTCCATGATTGAACACTAATTACCAAATAAAAACGAAAGTGCTACAATAGCTAAATTCTCAAAATTCGCGAACTAAACACAGCCTTGTTGTACAATCCAATGGCTATTCTTTTGATCTTGTCAAGATGGGGTTGGTGTATACTTTAATTGACGCCGTAAGCTTTCTGCCCCCCTGTTCCGCTCTCTCTTAATTCAGACGTCACAGGACACAGCCTTGACCGGACTTATTTATTTTTTTAAAACGGGGTCTCAATTCTCGTCACAGGACACAGCCTTGACCGGACTTATTTATTTTTTGAAAACGGAGTCTCAATTCTACAGCTTTCACTGACTGGGTGCGTATTACAATAATTCTACAATATACTCATTGAATCGACGACATAGGATGATACTTAATGAACTAATGTTACCTCAGCCAACACATTTCGTTTTCACTGACTGGGTGCGTATTACAGTAACTAATAACTAGTTTAGACAACTGTATAGGCCCTGTTCGCTAATTTGTTGTGAGAGAAAAATACTGTTCGTCCGTTGAAATAGTACGGCTCATAACACCAGCGAAGAGGGCCACAATATTTCTACTGCAATTTGTGCAAGCCCGTCAACTCACTGCTGCCATTCACTTTCATGCCACTACGGAGTTGAACATCCAGAATGCACGGCACTATAGCCTGCAGGCAGACCGCGATCCGTCGTTGTCGATCGACTGTCGAGCAGCCAGTTACTACGCATCAATGATCAACCAGGTTGTTTTTCAGAGCTGTCCCTTCATAGTTCATTGTCAGCTGAAGTAAACGTCAACACAGATGGTGACCGAGACCGAATGCTCTCGTGCGCGTTCACTCGGCATCGATCAACCAAGATCATTCGAGAGCGTGTTTAGTTCCAGGAAGATGGAATTTGGGACTATTGTAGTATTTTCGTTTTTATTTAACAATTAGTGTTCAATTATTTTTATCTATATTTAATGTTTCATGCACGGACCGTAAACATTCGATGTGATATGTACTGTAGCACTTTTTAGAAATTCGGTGTGGAACTGAACACGCGCAAGTGCCTGCGTGAAGCGTGAAAGACTGGGACCACAGTCAATGGCCCAATGCAACGCTCCAATCAGCGTCAGTGATCCAATTCAACCACGACCTCGACCTCATAAGATTCCGAATTCAATTCATGCAATGGCAATTGCAATCGTCTGGATTACATTACACGTACACTGTACGCCGCGCCCGCGCGCGGCAGGATCACTGTGCCTGCTCGGCCCCGGCCGGACGACTTGTGGCCGCCAGCAGCTGCGACGAAACGCGGCGGGACAGACACGGCCGCCCGAGGGCCACGGCCGCCTGGAGGTGCGACGCCGTCGCGTCCGCGGCTATGTCCGCCTCGTGCGCCGCCAGGAACGGACGGAGGTAGTCGTCGTAGACGTGACTCGCGCCCTGGGGTGGTGACCATAAAATGGAAAATGGTTTCACAACCTGGCCACATACAGGCCCACATGGAGATGGGACTGTGCGTGCGTGCAACGAAAAAGAAAAGGCAAACGTCTTGTTCAGCAGGGTGTGGTTTCGGATGGTAGCTTGCCATTGTCTTTGGGTGCCAGAGGTAGACGACGACTGCGAGCTTCGCCTCGCCGTACATCGGCAGCCACGAGAGCACGCAGTCGGCGAAGCTCTCTGGTGCAGTCAGGAACGCAAGCAGAATCCTTCACAGCACCGCACCATGAGAATGACAGTTCAGAATCATATTCCCAAGATGATTAACATGGGTTAATCTCATCTGATTCCTTGATTGCTTGCTTACCAGTACTGGCACCAGAACCGCAGCCGTTCCATCTGCGGTGCGTGCGCGTTCAGTTCCAGCGTCTTGTAGCAGTCGTACGCCGGATAGGCGTACCCTAATGCCAATCTGCATTTCAGGACCAAGAAATAGGAGATTGGATTGGGTCCTAGGGTCCAATGTGAATTTAGAAAGGGGCTGAATCCGCAAGACTGCTTACGTTAGAAATCTAGTGACGAATGATACAGCCATCTTCAGTAATTGGAAGCACAAAGACCCTGCGTCATGTTGTTCAGAGATTTAGCATTCGGATGGTGTAAATTAGCATGTGCAAACTAGGCAATGATGATCAGCAATGATGGATGCTTAGAAACAAAACAGAATCGTGACGAGGGAAAACAGAAACGATCGATCTTTGGTGCAAATCAAATAACTACCGTGCAGAACTACTGAAAGCGGAAACAAACAAGGATGCATTTCACCGTGCAGTCAGAAGATGTTACCGATGATTAGATTCCGGAGAAGGATTCTGGCAATAGCTTTAGTGGAAGCCTAATTGGATTAACAGAACTGGGATAACCGGATAAACACAAACTGAAACCGATAGGGGCGCATGGTTAAACATGCAGGCTATGGGAGCGGTTGTATCCGGCGGGATTCCTGGAACTGCCAACCAACCGCCACGTCCGTTCGCGCAATCAGGGATTGGGCTCCTGGAAAACGGTTACAGCGGAAGGCGGCTCGATAAACCAATGCAGGGCTCTTTGTTCTCGAAAAAAAATATGCAGGGCTCTGTCCTTGTTTGGTGATCGATGCTTGGATCCATTTGGAATTTCCAAACACAGCACTAAGCCTTTTCAGATCCAGGAATTTCATTGGATCTTTTGAATAAATAGTGCTATCTGCACGAATTCATGTCCAGTTCTGAACAAGGCCTTAAAACCTTCGAGAATTTAAGATCTCAAATCTTAGCATCTGGACCAAGCATGTGACCATGAACAAAGGTCATCATTTCGACCAGCTCCCCTGATCCATCCCTTTCTTCTTTCTTTGGGACACAAAAAGGGAAGGAACTCCTCTCATTACGCTTCACCGTGGAGGCGTGGACCATGATGCAACTTTTCACCAGCAAAAAAGAAAAAAAAATATAGGAATCATACATCGGGAGCTGGGAGCCATTACCAGAAATGTCACTCTTCCTTATTTTATCCCAGGGTTTTTTAGAATGAAGTGAAGAGCCGCAAAAACCGCATGAATGAGTGCCATTCATCTCCAATTGTGAATTCACATGTTCAGGGAACATTTCAGTTGAGGGGCGCTACAATTCATTGGTACAAGCTTTGCTGAACTACCTCACCACAGAATCAACAAATGAAATACGTCCTACTCAATACATTACTCGTAGTTACAGCCTTACAGGTACACCAGCAAACCAGATAGAAGCATACAGTGAAAAATTACAGCTGCAGGAGCTGCACCATCATTGTACACACAGAAGAAATGTGGGCACTAACTACTGCTGCATGCCATCCATCTGAACAATGGCCAACCAAGCTGTTCTCACAGATCGTGCATCAGCATCAGCCACTCCAAAAAACTGCGATTGTACATGCATCGCTCCAGGTTGTGTAGGCACCGCCAAAACATAGGAGCACTCTAGGTGAATGACTGTACCACGGAGGAAGTGGTGACGAGACCGGAGAGCAGACCGACTAGGGTGCCACTGTTGTAGGTGCTGGACTCCGTCTGTACAGCATTGTCACGAGAATCGACGAAAGTGTCATTCTGGAATGGCCCACCCACCAGGGCGCCCATTGCAACATTTGGGTTTGGATCGGGTGAATGGAGATACTGGAATCCTTTGCAGCCTGTTTTCGCATCTGCGGGGATGGACGCTCCTCTGTGATGTACTTGCTGTGGATAGCTGCTCCCATATCCAACAAGGTAGCTAAGCTTCATTGGGTTGTCTCCCAAGATATAATTAGCCTGGAATACAACATCAGAACATGAATTAGAAACTTCACGGTATCTTTTGATTTACCGTGTAGCTTGGTAAATCTTAGGAACCAGCAATGTCATATGAACACATGACCATCTAGAATTTTAGTATCTACTGTATTACGGTTTCGCATAGCGCACCTGTGATGCAGCAAAATTGCGTATATCGGTAGGGCTGTAGTACTTTCCACTGCACTGCACTGCCGCTGTCCGTGTGGAGAGCATGTAGTCACTGTACACAACAGCTAGGAATGCAGCATTGGTGGCATGCTGGAGAGAATTCCACCCACTTATCCACACCAACCCTCCTGCAGAAGATTGCACTGATATGATAAACTGAAAACATTTCTAATGCATACTCTACAGATTCTATTTTTGACAAAATCATAAAATCCTCAGTATAGCGAGCATGTAAAAAGGGAAACTTGTCGATCACAACAAGGTTAGTGTCCTCTTTGTATTGCCAGGTAACACCAGATCAAAGAGCAGATGGCAGATGCACTACACCATACCCCCAGTTCTGCTAGCAGTGGCTTGAGGGGAATCTGGAATCAGACCACAAATGACAGCTTCTGCAGTATCTCTATAACTTTTTAACCCCTCATTTTCAGCATTAGATATCTGTTTGGAGCCAAAGAAATTTAGTCTGGACAAAAGGACCTGCACAGAATAAACAAAGTGCACTGTAAGTTCTTGAGCTTGAATGAAGAGAGAATTATAAAGATATGAAATGAATATAAGAGAAGTAACTCCAATCTGCCATGCAAATTCACTTAGTTTAGTCCACACAAACCTGTGTGCCTGGATTTTTGTCATCCCAACTGAACCATGTTGGCCTTCCCCAATCAGCATAAGTTTTCCCATTCTGTACAGTTACATAACTGAGATATGTCTGGTCGCCTGTGGCATGATAGAGCCAACTTGCTGCCCATAGAAGTTCATCAACATAACTGGTGGAATTATAGAAGTCTTGGAGCTTTGGATAGCTCTCACTTGAGAGGCCTCTATAAGTATCAGCAAAAGTAAATAGCTTCTGGGCATGTTGAAGAAGCACATCAGAATATGTAGTATCTCTGGATTTGAAGACCATTGAAGCAGCTGCCATGGCTGCTGCTGCCTCAGCAGCAACATCTGACCCGGGAGACTTCTTGTTAATCTGTGTGAGAGGTCTTTTCTCGGTCATTGTTTCCGGCCTTTCCCAGCAATTGTGGTCCAGATCAGGATCACCAACCTAGTAACAATTCTCAAAGAGTTAGTTATCATGGTTAAGCAAAACAAAAATTGCGGCTCTGTTGCATTGAAATATTGCTGAATACTCAAAACAAATGAATAATTCACTAGCCTAACTCCACGATGCTCGAATCTATTTTTCAAAAATGCAAATGCATACACCAAACTTTTATTTGGGGAGGGTGGGGCAGGGGTTTGGGGGTTTTCTCGGCCTGTGTGAGAAGGTCTTCTTCTATCACAACAATGCCCAGGGGGTGGTCTTACCCCCTGCAGGTCGAGTTTTTATTTGGGGAGCGCAATAGACTCATATATATTATGATTCAGGTATCACACATTAATGTCTTACACCTGTCAAGATTCTCGGGGTGGACCGGTTAGAACGTTGTACTCTGAGACTCGTTGAAACTTCCCTGACCCCAGTTTGAAGAGCTGCAACTTCTTGAACAAAGCAATGGGAAATCCACCCCATGGTTGAGTTTTATTTTAACACCGTCCACCTGATCACACAAGCACCCATTGCGCCCTGCCCTCAAGGATCTACAACTTACATTCTCCAGTCTCATCCCAACTTCATGTATAGGGACTAGGGAGTACAGGACTGCCACCACCCCTCCCCAACAAAAAAGAGCATGAGTCATCGAAGTCACCTAGGCTATCAGACAAAATAGAAGGAAAAGGGACAATGAACTTGGTCCAGTACCAATCAATAGCCAAGGATCACAACAAATGTGTTGTTTAAGCATATCAAGCAGACAACGAAGTACCTACCAACTATTAGGTGTCCGGATCATGACATCTGACCTGGGTTCTTGCTTCCTAACCAACCAAACTTTTGCCTCAACTGAATGCCACCAGGCACCCATATACCCATACTTAACCAAATAACATACCCATACTATTCAAGAATCATTACCCATTAGGATGCCAGACAGGGTGAGATCTGTTTTTAATAAAATATAACTCATAATTCCTAATGCATATGCTTAAAGAATATCTAGTGCTCTAAACAAACAGTAAGCAACTCTTACGGTCTTACCTGAATATACAACACATTGTCAGAAGGATGTGCAGCGATAAGGAAATCAGTAATCCACTTCAGCGCATCGAGGGCAGGGTCCAGTTGCTTTGCGGCGCTCATCTGATCCCCGTACTCCAGCACCGACCACGAGAGCACCGTTGCCGTGAATGCCATCGGGAAGGTGAACTTCATATGATCCCCAGCATCATACATTCCCTTGGAAAGATCCAGTCCCGCTTCCTTCCCATCGGTAAGTGCCGAGTCCCCACGCCACGGGATCTGGTTGTTCTCAAGCTTCCCCGCTGCACCGAGTAAGGTAAATGACCAGGATTTCAGTCAAAGCAGCAGCTAAGTGTAACCACAATTTTGCAGTAAAATGAGCAGCCCATAAGTGTAATCACAATTTCAGCCCATACATCAAAGCGGCCAATTTGACAGCCCGAGGTGAAAATTGAAGTGAGATTTGGGAGGCCATACTGTCCAACGATACCAAGACTGCCCAACGAAGGGGCGAAGTCCATGGTAGGAGAGCAGTATTTGGTAAAAAGGAATCCGAATTCGCCCACCCAAAGCCATCACGGAAAACGTAACTTGAATATTGAAATCTACCGGACCATCAATTTCCCACTACCACTCTACCAGACCATCATTTTCCCTAGTGGGAAATCATTGGTGAAATTCCAGAAATGAAGTCCACCAGAGAGAACACTAGAAATGAGTCAACGGCCAGCCTTGCTACCTCCAAATATGGAGAAGCCACATCTATTCATGCAAAAAGCTTCTTCAGCGACGGCAAGGCGTCCGGCGTCAGGCGGCCAGAGGAGCGCCGCGGCCGCGGCCTTTGAAGCGCAAACCACCCAGCTCGCGAAAGGGAAAGCATTGCATTGGTTAAAGTAAACAGTTGGGGTAGCTACTCAGTACTCACCCTTCTGGACCTGGAAGAACTGGAGCGCGACCCCGAGCGCGTCGCCGTACTTGGAGTCGATGGCCCCCGGCGGCCCCGGCACCGGGAGCGGCTTGATGTGGCGCCCCCCTGGCTTGCGCTTCATGATGGCGAACATCGCCGCCGTGGCCACCAGCGCCGCAATCAGCGCCACGATCAGCCAGCCGCAGCACCCTCGCGTGTACTTCCCCATCACCGCCGCGCCTCGTCTCTCCTAACGCATTCGCTGGGAAAGTGACCTCCTCGAGTATTCCTCCGCGTTTCCGAGGCCCCCCGCTGCTGCCGCTGCCCGCGCCGCCGCGTTTCGGCAGCTTCGGTTCCTGCAGCAGCAGCAGCTCGTGCGCTCGCCGCGCGGCGGATGGGCTCGTGGGCTGGCCGGGTTGGGTGGGTTGGTTGGTGCGGTGTGGCGGAGTCGGGGTCGGAGCGCACAGCGCAGCAGTAATAATAAGGAAATGTTTGGTGCACGGTCACCGGAGGATTGAGAAGGAAGTTTTGGGTCGCTGTCTGTGGGACCTCGCGGGCATGATTGGTGCGGTGGGCCGCAACTGGCAGTGAGGGGAGCGGGTGTGGGGAGGTGAGCGTGGCGAGTGGTGAGGCGTCGAGCACCGACAGGAGAACGGCCGCGTCGGTCCGGGGTGTGGGGGGAGGATCCTCTGTGACCGCGGGCGAGGTCGCGCTGTGCTTTCGGCGTACAGGTACCGTACAACCAGCACCCATAGCCGTGACGTTGCACGGCGGGCCTGGGAGTAGAGCTATTATAGCAACTCCAACGCATGAGCCATCAGCATTGTGTAATTTATATTTAACTATTTAAAAAAAAAAGAGAGAATTCAACCGTTAGTGTATCTTACTTTCTAAAATAACAGCCTATCCATCTTGAAATTTTTACATAGTAAATATAGCTTGCATGTGCCGTTAATCATCTAGCTCGCGGCACTAGATTATGAATTTAGCTATCTATTTTTACCAACTCTATTTGGAGCTGAGGCTGTCCTGCACTGCAATAGCCTTGAACGCGCAGCAAACAGGGAGTGACCGGTTACCTCGAGCATACCCGTAGGCCGTAGTAGTTGCCACGGTTGCATCAATCGCATGCGAGCTGCTTGCCAATGACGTGATCTTTTCGGTTTTTTTTATTAATTAACATCACTTTTAATATCTGTAAGAACTCAGTTATCGTCACCTTCGCATGCCACCAAGAAGTTTGCAGCAATAATCTGAGGCTAGAAAGTAGAATATGACCCAGATGTGGCAGTAACCGCAGTAGGGTTATCGGACGACACAGTCGGCAGCGCCTAGATCATGGGAAATGTGATCCGGGATCTCAGATGATCATCATCTACCACAAATAATCTATCAGTACATGATTGCATGAGCATAATTTTGCTAGGTGAGGTGGGTCGTGGCGTGTGATTACAGGGATTGATAAGGCTGTGTAAGCCGGTACCGCTCGTCCGCGTAGCTCCACTGTCCAATCAACAACGGTTAGCGCTGAACTGGCGACGGCGACTTCTGCGATGGCACGGAGGAATATTTTTTTTCCAAAGCTGGAAGCGTCCGTGCCTCTCCCTCCGTTGTCCCGTTCATTTGGGCTGATTTGGTTATAAGTCGTTGAAAATACTGTTGATTGATTTAGTGTGAGAGGAAAATACCGTTCATTGGCTGATAAATCATGGCTTATAACTCAAATACGACCGAATGAACAGGCTGCCGATGCATGAGATCCTGGATCAGAGCGATCGATTTATCCCAACGAATTTGGGGATCCCCAAGTGGAATATCTTATGCACGGCCTGCCCGTTCAGAAATGCTCGTCCAGCATCAGAGCATTTCGGCAGCGGCAGCAGCAGTATTATTTATTTCGCAGTTGACTTGCGTATGAGCTAATCCAGCATCTAAGCGAAGTCCACGCTGTGAACTCACACTAATCCAGCTGCAAAATGTGAGCCGGTTCCCAGCGGCACGAACGTGACGACTGATACGTGACATCCTTTGATCTCTGAACTTCGCCGTTGCAGAAAGACAAGGAGATCTCGGATCCACACAAACAACAGTACAGGAATCTCAGTTTAAGAGCATCTTAGGTTTACTTCCTCCCTAAAAATTTACTTCATATCCTATCAAATATTTAGACACATGTATGGAGTTTTAAATATAAACTAAAAAAATAACTAATTACATAGTTTACGACTAACATGCTGGAAAGCGAAATACTTATCCTATGGGGGACGTCTAGTACTGCTTAATTCTGTATTAAGCAGCCTACCCATGTTTATGATGTCTTTCTTTGAGATCCCAAAAGGAGTTATCAAAAAACTCGATCATTTTAGGTCGAGGTTCTTCTGGCAAGGATCCTCAGAGAAACATAAATACCGCCTTGCCAAATGGGATATCATTTGTCGTCCCAAGGATCAAGGTGGACTAGGTATTACAATTTGCGCAAAATAAATGCCTACTAGCAAAATGGCTAGTGAATCTCATGAACACAGAAGGCATATGGCAAAGCGCTATTACAGAATAAATACCTAAATTCAAAAAGTTTATCCCAGTCACGGCAAAGCCAAATGATTCACATTTTGGAGAGGCCTCATGCATATCAAGGATGAGGTCTTTGGCAAAAGGTTCTTTCGATATTAAGGATGGAACCACGGCTAGATTTTGGGATGATGTATGGGTAGGTGCTAGGCCTCCGAAAGTTCGTTATCCATCTTTATATAATATTGTGAGAGATCCTCACGCCAGTCTCAAAGATAATGAGCACTAGCCCTCTGAATATTTCTTTAGGAGGGCTCGGTGGGTAATAAACTTTACAGAATGGCTTAGTCTAGTAGCAAGTATTTCTCATGTCGAACTAATAAATGGATCTGATCATTTTAGATGGAGTTTAAAGACAAGGTTCAGATCAGATCCATGTATCTCAACCTTATAGATACAAACACATCTTTTCGGCATAGGAAGATTTGGAAGATAAAAGTTCCTCTAAAAATAAAAATTTTTCTCTGGTTCCTACAAAGAGGTGTCATTCTTACCAAAGATAACCTGTCTAGGAAAAATTGGAAAGGGAGTAGAATTGCGTTTGTTGCAATGGGAATGAAACTATTCAACACTTATTCTGGACTGCCCTATTGCCATAATGATTTGGAGGATTATCTTCTTTGCTACTAGTTTAACTCAACCTAGATCAATCACCACATGTTTGGTAACCTGGTTGTCTAATCAAAATAAAAGGATTAGAAATTTGATTTGGGTGGGAGTGGCTGCTATGTGTTGGGCTATTTGGAGATGCCGTAATGATGTTGTTTTTAATAAAATAAAATCTAACTCTATTATAAGGTCATTTTTAGGGAGCGTCTTGGTTACGCTTCGGGGCCAAATTGCGGCGTGTGAAGCAAGCTAAGGGCCAGCGCTCGACAATAAGCAAGAAATTAGAAGTTATTGCTCTAGAGATATCCAATAACGGATGGAAACAATTTTATTGTTTAAGTTAGCGTCTTGGTCATGTTATAAGACCTTGGCTTTCTTTTTGGTTTTATCATTATCTGTAATTTTGGGCTGTGTACATCTACGGATGTAGAGGCCGGATGTTTATCCATTATCTAAAAAAAAAAAATGAGACGAATCTTTTAACCCTAATTAGTTCATGATTTGACAATGTGGTGCTACAGTAACACATGTGTTAATGATAGATTAATTAGATTTAATAAATTCGTCTTGCGAATTACTGACGGATTCTATAATTTATTTTCTTATTAGTATCCGAATACCCGATATAACACTTCAAAACTTTACGTCCTAAATTTAAACGAGGCCTTACCGAAAAAGAAGCAGAATACACGTCGCAGTCCATCGTCTCGATCAGAATAGTGGCGATGACAGACGTTCAGCAGCAGAGCCGACAGCCGACTCACATGTGGAGCTTGCAAAACAAGCGTTCACTGCAGGCCACCCGAGCCGAGACCCTTCTTAGACCAAGCGTTGGATATTTGGATGCATTCAGGCAACCACCGTATCTGCTGCTAATCACAATTCTCGATGCCACAAGACCGGAAGCTGTCACCGTTGGTCACGAAAGGTAAGGGGACACTGATATCTGACCTCGGTGCAGTTGTCCTGACTCCTGATAGCCACGTCGTCACCTAGATGGCTCGATCGATTAGCACCAACGCACGGAACTTGTTTTGCTGCCTGCTGCTGGTACTGGCGATTAGGGATCATGACAAGAAAAAATTGGCATAGGCAGTATGTCCAAATAACGTTACAATGGCTAGTCAATTAATCAGTTCGCATTTACTCCTCTGCCATAATGCTCTTTCAGCAGCACTTAATCAGTTGTTCGATCCTGCATTGTGCTAGCTCGTGGCCATTACTGATCCAATTCCAGTCAATATACAGTTGATGAATTGAAGTACGTGTGAACTTTAGAATTACTCGATACAAGACGAATACACATAAAAAATATATAAAAAAACTAATTTTTAAAGTTTTATTTAGATCAACTAGATGATGCAGGTCGTCTCCCGTGCAACACGAATCGGATGCTGTCTAATTCAACTTTAGTTGGTCTCCATCCAATCCCGAAGATTAATTAAGAACCTTGTGTCCAACCATAAGAAGTAATGGCACCGGTAGAAGAAAAATGCCACTAGTCATTTTTCATTATATTATTGGAGAGTTCCATGGACCATGAGAGCCAATGCATGGCGTAGCAGGAGAAGAAATCACAGTCTTGTCCTTCGATGACGTTTTTTCCTCGTTGTTGACCAGACACTTGACGGCAAGATACGCGGCACTCCAGTCTCCTTCATGTCGCGCCATCCTGATGAACTCTGTGCTGCTGTGCAGTGACAAACACAGATTGCAGGAGCTAGTGTGAGACGAATAGCAAGGAAAAGCATGACCACAGCGGAACACTGCCCAGAACAACGCAGCTTGAACGAGTCGCCATGGTGTCTGTTGGCACTCATTGCGCACGAGTAGACCGGAAAGACAAGATTGAAGCGAGATCTGAGATAACTATGGTGGCTTCTCCCGTCATGCCTTTCATTCCCAGTCGAGCTCACCATCACCTCAATCACCCCCCCCCCCCCCCCTATGTCTGTCAGTCTGCTTCTCCCTCAATTGTGTGCTCTGTTTGCCGGAGTATGTTCAAGCGAGTGATGCGATGATGAATGTATATATTTGGTGTGGGTTCAT